ACAACATCCAATTATTTTTGTTGGTACAAAGTCATCTGCAACATAGTTTTGAACGAGTCATGTTGTTGCTGCAACACATACTTGTTCTAGGGTTAGGTCTAAATCGTCCAAACTTTTGCTTTCTGACCTACTAGAAAAATAATTGGAATTATCATCGTCTATGTGTGTAATCAGAAAATCATCTTCCGAATCACTAAAGTCATTAACTAATAAGAATTATCAAAAAGATTCCTAACTGATTTATTTTGTAAGCCAGATGGTCCAGCTATGGCCTCATCCATTTTGGGAAAATCTACTTACACAAATTTGCTTGATAAAGATCGTAGTAAAAAAATAACTCCAAAGTTTAAAAAAGGACACGGAATAAAAGGAAGTAGGTGTAGCTATATTTGGTTTAAAATATTCGACTGGAACTTATTCTTTCAACGCAATTTTTATCTGCTGAATTTATTGGCACACACAGTTTACAAAGAGGAAATCGGCCAATTAGATCGGCCTTCCACACTTCGTGGGTTAATAAGCCAACATATTGTTACCTTTTTTTTTAAAGAGAAACAAACCAGTAAAAAAATAAATTCTTTTATATGGGCACATCTAGATAATTAGCTCCTTTTCATTATTATCAAGCTGATATACTTGTATAAAATGATGCTTAAGTGAGGTGGAATTTAAAAAAAAAGGTTAAAGCAGTATATTCATGTACCTGAGAATGATGTGCAGACTATGCTATACATATTTTTAAACATCACAAAATGGAAATAGTATAGTTAAGAATAAGAACACGATACTGTTGCTAAGATGGTGTTAAATATCCTCAGTGATAAACATGTCTAAAATTAAAATGGGTTTAAGACATTTTTTTAAAGATTAAATTTTAGAGTGGAAGTGTAAAGCAACCATTTGTTCCAGGAGAAAGCTAAAAAAAAAATATTTTTTTAAATAAAAAAGTATAAAATACTTCAATGAATGCTTCATTAAAATTTTATAAGAAAATGTATATATACTCCACTGACTAAAACTTATGCTGACGAGTTGGTTAATTCATAATAAGCACTGATAATTTTTTCAGGTTTACTATAAGAAGCTATGAACACTTAACATTAAATATGCTTATTATGCACTGGATATGAAAATATAAGAAATAAAGTGGATACTGGTACCAACTAATAATTTCTATCATTCAAGAATTTCAAGTTAAATAGATTAGGCAAAAATTAAAGAATAGTTTCAATGCGAAAAAATCAAAATGTGCCAATTTTAGCAGCAATCTTTATGGCATGCACTGCAGAAAAACATTACAAGTTATATTTTTTGCATTTTCATTGCAACTATTTTTAAATTTCTTTTCTGTTAATTAATTTCAGCTGTCAAAGGAAAATAATTAGGTGATAGCAGATAAATATTTGTTAAATTGTTAGCCAAGTCTCTAAACGTTACAACAAGCAACAACAAAAAAAAAATCAAAATAAAATTATATCCGACTAAAATTAGACAAGTTATGGATAAAAATAGTAACCTAAAAGTTAATAAAAGAAATCAGAATTATATGCTATATTATATCAGAATATTATTAACTATTAACGACAGCAAAATATTCAGCATTGTTTTTGAGAAAGTTTCTTTTTCAAAAGTTTTTGAGATAATGACAATCACAGGAACAGAAAATTTAATATTTAAATTTTCAAAATCAAAAATACACTATTATTAACTCTTGTAAATATCTGCAATAATGGCTTTTAAACATTATTTTCTTCCTTTTTTGGTGTGGATATTTTAACGAGTTTTGTAGATAACTTCATGTAAAAAATTCTTTATTTTGTCTAAAGTGAGGAAGTACTCAAGAAGCAGAATAGGATTAAATAATAAAGTGCACACATACTAAACAGAATGAACTGCCCTACCATCTTATACATGCTCTGGGGAAGGTCTATGGGTCAGTTTTCCAAAGAGAAAAACTGACCCACACATACATTGGTCAGAAGTCATCACCCCATTCCTGTAAGACGTACACAAGCATGCTTTCAGTAAAATATTCTAAGCTTAAATTCTTCTTCATCAGTGCTACTCAAATTTATAACATCAGATAAGTCAAGCGCACATTCATTTGCCTCATGTCACATAAGTCAAGTGATTGAATAGTTCTTTAACCTACATAAATATCTTTTACTGTTGGTAAGTGCAATCACTGGTGCTACTGGGAACAATACCAGGAATAATAGTTTAAGGAGCACTTTTAAACAAATTTAGAACATGTATTATCCAAATCAGAAACTATTTAACTATTTTTAATGCTTTTATTACTAAAAAAATTCAGAGACCACAAAATTAGAAACAGCTTTATAAAAATAAAGCTTAAATAAAACTTATGTTACCAGCCTGTTGGTTTATGTCTTAATTAATGAAATAAGTAGTGTTGGTTTATTTAAATAAATAAAACTAAAATATATTCAAGAACAAATGTTTGTACTATTTCAAATATAATTTGGTAAGTAGTAAATTAGCAACTCCAATATTGATTAATTAACAATGCTTTGTTTGAAGATTAGCAAGTTCATACAAACAAAAAGTACTTCATTATTTTTTTTTTTTTACAAATTCACCATGGATTATTTTTTTTTAAAATCATTTAAACAAATTGTAAATAAGGGCATAAAGAATAAATATTGTTAACAGATTCCCAGAAATGCAAGGAGCTGGGGCAGGCCATAAACAAAAGACAGGAAGAAAGGTTAACACACAAGAAGATTTGGTAAGACAAATGTTTTAATTTATAGATTTTCTCAAAGACTAGCTCAAAAAGATATTCACTTAAGCCTCATATAATATCAAGCTTGTGCTTTATTGACAAATCATAATAATGAGGGCATACACCACAAGTTAAAACTTTTACAATAAACAATTATGGTAATAGTAATATGGATGATGATTGTTACCAACCACAGAAAAAAAAAAAAGAGTTCATGGATACACAGAGAGAAGGTCACCCAATTCATCCAAGCATGTCAACACTTTGTGGAAACAAAAACAAATCAAATCTATGGCAACTTCTAAAAATTACAAGACAAGTCAGCATATATTTATCATCATTATGTGATCTAATAGAACACAACTCATTCCTAGGTAATGATAAAACAAGAATGTTTTATAATGATCTTCAAAAAATGATATTTATCTAATGTAGATAAGTTTCACAACAGATTAGAATAGCTTATCCGGTCTTTCTTAAACTTCAAATGAACCATTAAGGAAGTGTGTTATGAGATTCTTAGAGCAGCTAAAACAACACAAATAAAAATTTTACCTGGACATTCTTTGGGATAACTCAAGAAATATTGAAGTTTGTTTCCACAAAAAAAAAAACTCAATAAAAAAAAATTAAAAAAAGGAGAAAAGCATTGAAAAAAAGGGGGAAAAAAAGAAGAAATAAACTAGATGTCAAGATATAAAATGTCCTCCACATAAAATTTTTACCTTTGACTACTAATAAAGACTCAAGTATTAGGTCTAAACTGGGTTATTTACGCTGCAGGACAAACAAGGAGTTTTCATTACAAGCCTGTCCCAAATTTTCCAGGCATGTTTAAATTTCAGGGATGAGTAGCAGCAACAAATCAACCTACTCCATGTTTATGCCGTTCACATGCTTAAATGATTCTATTACCCTTTCTTCCATCAATATATTTTAGAAACCATTGTCAATAAATTATATGGGAATAATTTCTTAATTCTAAAACCAGGAGGTTCTATAGCAAAACACAGTGGTTCCCAAATGGTGCGACATGGAGAAATGGTGTGGTGAAAAAAGATTTTAAACGATGGAAATATGACAAAGATTGAGTGCCTAATTGTAGCACATCCAGAGGCAGGATTATATTTAAAAGTGTTTAAAATTTAAGTGCTTATTTCCACACAAAAATATCTAACAATATCATCCCAAATGCAGACTAACCAGTTACTTGGTTTTTTTTTTATTAACTTTAAATCTGGCTTAACAGAAATGTTTTTACTAAAACTGATGGAAAGGTAATAAAGTGCCATAGATGAATGGCCTCTTATAAAAAAAAAAAAATTATGTCAGAATTAGATATTCATTTATGAACTTCAACTTACATTCATTTAGGAGGAAAAGAATAGATAACCACTGAAATTTTTGAAACAGGAACATCTAACCATACTTCTATCCAAATTGAACCATATCTTCTCATGGTTCTCTACATATCTTTCATGATGAATAATGATCATCTTCATCCAGTGTCATGTTCCTGTTGGCCTAGTCCAAAAAATGTGCAGATATTCCTCAGATGGTTTTTATTTATGCATTGAGGTGTTACTGTAGTCTGTCAATTATGGTGCATCATTAATGTGTATGTCAAGACGTGTTAAAACAGGTAAAGTGTAATGACAAAGGATTTAGGCAGCAAGGGGAAATAATGTTACTATTTTTGGAGGTAAATTATTAGGTTTTGGGGGTTTGGGCCATCCATCAGTGTAAACACAAATCTTCCGGTTCATCCATCATTTAATGATGAATATAATGGATACTATGTACCAAAAACAAGCCTATAGCATACATTTAAACAAATTAGTATAGTTAAAGAAAGTAAAATGTTTCATTAAAATCAGCTTTTTAATACACATTCTGGATGTTTCTTTTATTGTAGATTGTTTTTTAAAGTTGTTAATAAAGCATGTTCAGGAGTCAAATGTATTTTCTGAAGATATGTCTCAGTGTTGTGTTTTGCTGTGTCACTACATTTTCATTCCAAAAGAAAGCCACTTGGGAACCACTGATTTAAGATCACTGTAATATGGGTTAGCTTGTTTTACAGTAATTATTCACTTTCATACAGTTTTTGAAATTTGAAAAACAAATAGTTTATATAACACAAATAAATTACAATCACACATCAATTAATGCTGGTAAACCACTTACTTTTAAACATTCCACATCAGATTAGAAGAAATATGTCTTACTATGGAAAATGTTTAAATTAGCATATTTAAATCAAATTAAATTGATTAACTTGGTTTACCTGTAAACTAGACATGACTCCATTTGCCAAACTAGATATTTTTCCAGCCACTTTGGTGACACCTTGCTTGACACCATCTTTTATATCCTGCAGATCAGGGGTAGAACTTCCATAGTTTTGTCTACGAGAACTGGTAGTGCTTCCTCCAAAGAAATCATCACTTGAGATGGATGACTGACCTTCTAGCCGGTTTAAATTTTGCCTGGTTTCAAACTATATGAACCAAGAAAAATAAAAAATACAAATTAAATTAATATAAAAATGTACATTTAGGCAACCGTAAGCTGTGTTTATTTAAATTACCCATAGTTTGATTTTTTAAAATGTGAGTTTTTATTTGAGAAATAGAGACGATTTCCTAAAGAAATGATCAATCAGCTTATTTTCAGACAGAAAATATTTTCAAAGCTTTCTAATGACTCACATCATTGTCTTTGTTACCAAAGAACTGATCAGAAGAGATAGCTTTGGCACTGCCAAACTTTTTCTGAGCTGTATCACTGCTATCAATACTTGAACTTGACTCTTGGGTTTTTCGGCTTCGACTTGACCTAGACAAAAATATCAAAAGTTTTCATATATAACAATGCTACACTGTGTCTGGGGAAAAAAGGAAACCCTTGTAATAATGAGGAAAAACACAAGTAAATAGACCTGACTTTAATCCAGTTGATTAGAAGATTTGGGGAATAATGCACGAGAAAGAATACAGAACATATAAGAACTCCATAAGCGAATTGTTAATGTATGGGATGAGCTTGATCAGCCAGTTATAGATGCAGCTATTGGTCAATGGTGAGTGCATCTTGAAGCCTGTGTTGAAGTTAATGGTGGACAAACAGCATAAATTAAATTTACATGATATAAAAATACATGTATCCTACTTAAAAAAAGAGAGAAAAGAATAAGATTGGGCGCAAAACCCTCGTGGGTTATACTTATATTAATGGGTTTTTTGTACTAATGAAGGCATTTGCCGAAATGTCTAAACTTGTATTTTGTATAATCATAATTAAAGCTGAACATAATTCTTTGTGTCTAGTTAATCATCATGTTAGAATTACAATGAGTTTTAGATTTTAAAAAATTGATAAATATTTACACTTTGTTTTCATCATAATTAAAAGGGTTACCTTTTTTTTTCCAGTCTCAGTGTATATAATTTTTCAGTGATCCCTAAGCTTTAAGTATTTAATAACAAAATCAATGATAACAGGGCCTATCACAAAGAAAAAACAATTTAAAAAAGAGGGAAATAAAGCTTCATGAAAATGAAATGTACAAAATAATTAAATATTAACATAAAACTGAAAGCCCTCATTTATTTTTTCTTGCAATTTTAAAAATACAAGCCCTTTATAAAGATTGTTAAAACTGCATGATACAGTCAATAAAATTCAAAATAAATGTATCTATTACATGTTAATTCATCAACTGAAATAAACCTGTTAGGATCTGATCTCTTTGAACTTTTTCATGATAGCATGATGAACTAAAAGCGATTGCCAGCACACACCACTGTCTATTATTTGGAATCAAATCAAATACTTCAACATAAGCATTTTAATGGTCTGTGTAAATTGACACAAAAAACAAAAGGTATAAAAATAAAATCAAGCTTTTTACCAAAAAATGGATGACAAACATGGATTTTTCAACAGTTAAAGTAAAAGCAAAAATTTTTTATGGCTACTATCGCAAGAGTGTGTTAAACTGTCAGCTAATGTAATTTTTTAAACTTCATTTAGTGAATGGCTCACTAAGCTAATTAACATACTGTGCCAAAAAATGTTATGATGAATATACAATGGGCTTTTTTTTTGGTCATCCACAATTACCTAATACAGCTTCAAGGAAAAATCTTATTTTTGTATCACTTTTTGAGAAGTTATTCATACACATTACACCCTCTACCCATCTCCAATTTCATAGTAACGTTACGTTCCTACAATAACCATCTCAAATGGAATCATCAATGGAACTTAAAAATAAAATATATTTGAACAAGCTATGTTTGAATTCTCTTGCATAAATTTTATGTAAAGTTATCTTACTTATGCCAACAAGTTACCAATTCAAAGAAATGAAGACATAAGCTAACAGGAAAAACAGTATATCCATTTGTGGCAATTAACCTCTATGTAAAAACTTTTGTAGGATGAACACAAGAAGCTTGCAACTCAGTTTTTAATAGCACTTTTATTCTCATATTCTTACAACCCCCTGCTTTCACATCTTTTATTACAAGTGACTAAAATTCTTTATCTTATTGCAAAATATTTTGATACTTTTGTTCATTTGAACCACACAAAAATATGAAGAGGTTTTGGGATGAACAAAAAAAAAAAAACCAGTCCAAATTATTGAGAATGCATTATTAAATTGAATTCCCTTTACATTTATTTTTTTATTTTTTTTTAGGGATGCTACAAAGTTGAAATTTTGTCCACGATTATTATCAAGGCACTTTTAACTATAAAAATTTGGTCAATATATTATATTTAAGTTTAAGGCATTAGTTAAATAATGTCGTGACATTTTTAATGGAAAGTGATAAAAAATAATGCCTTTGTTTTAACAAAGTGCGCTTTAAATACAGTGCAGGCATGTTTGTGTAAAATAGTTCACCACTTTACAATTTTAACTTAAAAAACTTTGCATTTTAACTCTTTCTCTCCAGATAAACGCTCCCATTGTCGATTTTAAATTAGGTTTTCTGACAGATTTAGTATGGCATTGCCGATGCATAAAAACCTGTTTGCTTCAGTTCTTTTCTTAGCTATTGGTTTTAAATTACTTTTCATCAAATTTAGAGTGATTTCCCTTTGATAAGCATCGCTTTTTTTCCTAATATTCAAAGCATTTTTTGTACAGAACAAAGTGTTTGAAACGGTTGTTTTCTTTTATCTATTTAAACTATTTTATTTTTGTTGACCTGACCCATCTGGCGATCGATCTAATAAAGGTTGAAAATATTACGCTGATGACGATTAAGATTTCGGATGCAAAGGCTGATTCTCATGAATTGTATAATTATAATCCTAGTACTGGTACTAGTATTAGTAGTACGGTACAAGTGAGAAAATTGATAATTCATCAACTGATGAACAACCAGCCCCACTCCAATCTAAACTTCCTTGTATTAGTGCTAATAAGTTTCCTACCATAAATAATGTAGATTCTAATAGGAAAGCAGTTGATCTTAGCACTAAAACTAAAACAGAGTGCAATTTCAGATTTTTACATCTGCAAAATGTAGGTGTATTTGGAGCTTGTCAAATGACAGTGACTTTTTCTTTTACTTTGCCTGACACACATATTATTCACAAGCTTGTACTCTCAATAAATGAGTATGCTTCCTAAAGAATTAAAATCAATAATAATAATAATAAAGTTCATTTCAAAAACACGCTTCATCCCTAATTAAGGCTCGAAACGCGGTACAAAGTCAACCATATTTGACAATTTATATTTTTTCCACAAATAAAATACAAAACGCAACAATACAAAATCTACATCAAGAAATATGAGCAAGCTGGAAACAAGGCAGTGGGTTACATCACCCCCAGGAGGTGAGTGCAAAAAAGATGTGTTTTCAACTTAGTTTTGAAAGACTGCAGTGTCTGGCTGTTTCTGAGAGCGACAGGAAGGGCGTTCCAGATTCTTGGGCCAGCAAAAGCGAAAGTGCGCCTTCCGTAGGTCTCAAGGCGGACTCGCTGTATCCAGAGTTTGCCACTGTCGGATGAACGGAGAGATCTTGTGGTACATAAGGCGTCATGAGAGCTTTGAAATAGGACAGCGACAGTTTATGCAAGCAGCAGTAGCAGAGAGTGGCAATTTTGTACATTTTGTGTTTTAGCATTGTCAAATTTGCGTTTGCGCAGAACAATGCAAGCAGCATTATTGTGTTCTTTTTTAATTTTAGCTAGGAGTGTAGCCAGAAGACCCACCATGAGAGAATTGCAGTATTCCATGCGTGATAGCACAAATGCAGACATCAGCCTCTTTGATGCATTAAATGTTTAAAAAGGTCTAATATGACTAATTCTGCGCAGCTCTAGAAAAATCGCCTTACAAAGCATGTTAATGTGATTTTCCATAGTTAGTGTTCAGTCCAAGTAGACACCCAGGTTTCGCACTGTTTGAGCAAATTCAGTCTACACACCTGGGAGAGTAAGGGATGGTGTGTTATTTACAGATTTTTGCATCTGAGCTGTAGCAATGGGGATCAGCTCGGTCTTTTCTTAGTTAAATTTGAGCTTGTTTATGGTCATCCAGTGCTTAACTGACCCCACTGTCTTCTGTGTCATACCAAGAAGCTGAGGGAGCTGAGAGAGATCACGGATTGCTGAAGTTTGGTATCATCCACGAACATGTGATATAGCATGTCAAACTGCTTGATCACTGCACCCAGGGGCTGAACGTACATAGTGAAAAGCACCGGGCCTAGGACCGAGCCTTGGGTTACTTTAAACTCGATAATAGATTGCTTCGAGGTCAAGCCATTTGCGTTAACTGATTGGACCCAATTAGTCAGGCATGAGCGGAGCGATCTCATGACAGTATCGGTCAAACCGAAAAGTTTTTGCAGACTTTCGAGAAGTATGCCAATGCTCAAGCGTATCAAAAGCTGCCAATAAATCAAGTAACGACAAAAGGGATACCTGCCCCTCATCACAAGATGACAGAAGGTCATTTACGACGCACAACAGGGCTGTCTCAGTAGAGTGATGTGTCCTGTATGCTGACTGGAAAGGCTCAAACAAGTCACACTAAGTGAGGTGATCTAGGAGCTTGTGGAGAACGACTTTCTCTAAGATTTTGGATAATTTTCCAACACATTTGGGTCGAGATTTGCTTTCTTTCGCAGTGGAGTTACAACCGCCTCTTTAAAAAGGATGGAACAATACCAGTTTTCAAAGACTGATTTATGATATAGTTATGATATTTCATCCAAACATTCGTACAACAGCCATGCCGGAAGAGAGGCGAGTAAACATGACTTTCTTGGGGTGTCAACCAGTATATTCTTCACATCCGATTTAGTGACCTCCACAAATTCGCTCATAGGAGAGCCGTTAAACGGCGAGAATTCGGAAGCATCAGTGCAAATGTCAAGTCTCGCCCTGATCTTTGTAACTTTCATTTAGAGCATCTGGCATCTTGCCTACAGCAATGTTATTTGGCAACGATATGTCCTCCTGTTTACCAGTCAGCTGACCCACAATAGGAAATAAGTTCATACTTCAGCTGCAATCTACAATCTGGTGACTGAACTGCTCAGTCCTAGCTGCAAGGACCAACTTCTTAGTTTGTTCCTTGTGATCAACAAAGATTTGTCGGTGCACAGTCCAGCCAGACTTCCTTCATTGACATTCTGCACGACGCTGCTTCGCGTCCTTTATTTAGGGCGTGAGCCATGGCGGGAAGGGTGGTCCGTAACGCGATATATGGACAGAGGTGAATGTTTGTCTAAGATGACTCTTAGGCCACTGTTGTAGTCTGTCGCAGGGTCTTCTTCACTGCACCCGAGGGCCGCAACGCCACATTGAAAGCTACTAGATCTATCTTTCGGAGGTAACGGGATGTGACTGTGCGCAGAAAGCGCCCTGGCTTCCTCAAGTCAAAGTTAAAGTTTACTGGGAAATGATCAGAGATCAGTTTGTCCTCAACAGACCTGTTTACTCTTACAATTTTGGCGTTGGAGGTGTATACATCATATATACTGTAGATTTATTTTTTATTATTAATATAATGTAATGAACGATTTTGTGACAATGTACGATTTGAAGAGTTTGAGGGCAAACAGGTCTGCCTCAATAATGAGGTTGTGAATCATAGATGCACGGTCCTCTCTGACAATTAGCCAATCTAGGATGTGACCTCGTTTCTGTGTCGGGACATTGACAAGCTGAGTCATACCGTGTGTGTCAAGAGCTGATTTTAGAGTCTTCACACAGCTGTCGGTGGTGGAATCAAAATGGCAGTTTGAGTTGCCAATTATGATGACATTGTTGGTGGAGACATACGTGTCCAGAAGCTGTAGAAACTCAGCAGTGAACTGACAGATCTTTTTTATTTTACTTAGTTTACATGTTTTTAATAATTGTAAAGCGCTTAGAGCTTCAAGGTAAGCGCTATATAAAAATGCCTAAATAAATCTAATCTTCAACTTGTTTCGCTTATTGGGAGGTGGCCTGTATATGCAGATAAGCATCATCACTTGGTCACCATAATTAAGTTGCATCTTGCACATTTCAAATGAAACAAACTCTTCTGATTTTGAGAACGTCACACTATTCTTGAGGGAGCTCCTGTAAAGGACAGCAATACCACCGCCACTCTGCGACTGCCTTGGGCAAGAGTGAAGGATGTAGTCCAGAGGTGTAATTTCTTGCAGCTTGACCTCATCTCCGACTTGTTTAACCCACGTCTCGTTCATGAACACAAGGTCGGCCTTGCTCTCTAAAATATGATCACACACCTCAAATGTCTTGGTAGTTGAAATACAGCACCCCGAAATGCCGTGATTGCGGCTTCACAACAGTCCAAAAATCAACACTTCAACATGCAGGACTATTTTTAGTGACTGGAAACCTGTCAATAATTATGAGACCTACAAGTTTCTAGCAGTAACAACGATGGGGATGAACTCTTGTCCATTTGTTCGTGACTTTTGGTATGTCACAATTTTTCAGAGAGAAAAATTCTCTACATGCTACAAGAAATAAGTGTAAAATGTAGCCTTTTATAAGCTCACAAGGCCATAAGATCAGAAAAAATAACCCTCAGAAATTCAAACAATAACTTGAGGACAGATAAAAATAATATGCTGTGATCATTATTTCAAAGGGGGGGAAAATTTGTACGTTCCAGGCCGTGGACATCCTTGTGCCATTGATGCCATTGACACTTATCCGAGCAAAACATGTGCCTATTAGCTCCTAAAAGAACAGTGTGCAAACACTGAAGAACAGGGCCAACTGTACCAGTATACGTTTGCGCTGGATGTGAGTCAGATCCGCACATCCATATGGATTGTTTTCAGGCTTACCATAGCTAAGCCCAGATGAAAAGATATGACAAATTTATGGTAAATTTTCCATTCACCATAATAAATGTTAATACATACAAGGATACAGTGCAAATATTTTCTATAGCAACAGATTGTTTCCAGTGAAATAGGTTTTTTCCAGACATTTTTTGTGTGGCTGTAACAATGGATAATGTCTATGGTGTTTCATTTTTTTTTAAATATGATCTTTATTATTATTAGTGATGCACATATGGATATAGTTCAGAAAAAAATTTTTTTGTTACATTGGATTATACATTTCTCTTTGTGTGACTTGGAATGAGCTTTTTTTGAACATTTGGTGAGTTTTTTATTTAAAAAATTTTATTTTCCTTAAATCATAATCACATTTAATTTATGTATTAATATTTAGACCTAAGTCTGTATTACTTTACTATGTCTGTAAAGAGCATGCATTCCCCTTTAATTCCATACCAAACTTAAAATTTTCTGATAAAATAAAAAAGTTATGATGGTTTGGAGATAACATAGTAGAGCGTGACAAATATGCAAAATAGATAATTCCTTCAGAACGGAGAGAAAGAGTTAACATATATTTGCTTGTTAATATTATGCTTTACCTTTTTATATAGTTGACATATATTGACAAGTGAAAGAGTGGAGGCATTTTTTACTATTAAATATTTGAAAAAAAGCTTGTGTTAAACTAATTTTTACGTCATCATACTTTTGGTGCATATCAACACATGAGGGAGAGAAAGAGGATTCTACAGCTAATATTTTGTCCAAAACCCTTTAAAAAAAATAATTTTCATTGGGGGGGGGGGGGGGGGGGGGGGTTTTTTTTTTTTTTGGGGGGGTGTGGTGGTGTGTTCCATTTCCTTAATTTGAATGCCATAGGAAATAATGAAAGATAGGATTGTAAAATTAACCCACAGTGTAGTGTCTATAACAAAAATCCACATGTATTTACCAGACATCATCTTTAACTACATCTCCATCTGCTTCATTTTCTTTGTCTTCATTATATGAATAGCTGCATGCAATAAACAACTTGTGACAACTTAATCACATAAATCAGTTATCAGCTTTTCTTACTTAAAATTTGAAGTATTTCAGTGTGATTTGACTAAAGATTTCTTTGTAGAGAAAATGTAAGTTTTCACCAAAAAATTCATTTATGAATGTATATTAATTATTTCAAATTTATATTATTATATTAAGAATTATAAACGTTTTCTTTTTAATACTAATAAATACATTTTTTTAAAATTAATATAACTTTTATTTATAATGAAAAAATATCAACTGAGTCAGAAACAAAGCCGAATCTTTCCATAAATTTGGGCTGAGCCAGGTGCTGACCCAGATACCCAGATGTGCAGACCCTTCACATACCCAGACCTGACAAAAAAATGTAACCAAGTGTTTAAAAGAAAAAAAAAGAATTTTCTTCACATTTTCTACATTTTACAATGGGAGAAAGGTATATTTAGAAACAGCGTATTTTTTTTAAAGTTAATTTTGTTGTGTACAGTTTACCTGAATTAAAAAAATAATAATATAAAAGTGACTGGCGATTGGCACTTAACTAAATTACCACTCAATGAAACTACAAAGCTCTTGAATAAAATAATGTACTTGATGCAATTTTTAAAAAACTATTTGTCTTCTTAGCAAGATGTATATCTTTGGTTATGTCCATGGCACTTTCTATTTATTATGAATATTTCATTTCACATGCTGACCGGCTGATGATACTGAGTAGCATTATTTTCTGTGTGGATCATTTAATAAGTGAAGCAATTGGCTTAGCTGAGGGAAGGCTAGGATGGTATCTCGAAGATGATATAAATACGCCTTTGTATTAAAAACTGTGTAAGTTAGAAAATGAAAACTGCTATTGATACCAACTAGCAATCAGCAACACGAACACATATAGCTAAGCTGAAATCCATGTTTGATTTTAGTTATGGGTTAGGGCAGTGGTTCTCAATCTGTCGGGTCACGACCCACTCGGGGGTTGCTTGACAAAATGTCAGAGGTCACTAGAGAATTTCAGAAATTTGAGAGTTTTTTTGGTGTAAAATTTGCATTTTTTTCTTAATTTAATGTTCATTCTAAATTATTTTCAGCGATAGGACTAGTTTTATATAAATTAATATAAATTTTTGCCATTTTTATTTGTTAACTAGCCAATATACCCGGCGTTGCACGGGATTGCATTAAGACCCCCACCCTGGTAAGACCCAAATTCTAATGAGTCCCCAATCCCATCGCAATCCCTTTTCCCGGTGTGATCCCGTTCCCGGTGAGATCCCATTTTCTTGTGGCTTCCAGGGACAATCCAGATTCCGTTGGGGATCCCAATCCCGTCGGTGTCTTGATCCCAGTGGGATCCCAATCTCAGTGGATCCCGATGGGCTACCGATCTGGTTAGGATACCGTTCTCTGTGGGATCCCGTTCCACCTAGGGACTCTCTTTACCGATGTTTTCCCTTTTCCTGATAGGATCCTGATCCCGGTTTGATCCCATTACCCGATGGGATCTCAATGGCATCCTGTTCCCCGATGGGATCGTGTAACCGATGGGTCCCATTAGGATTCTGTTTCTCTATGGGATCATGCTCAGTGCGATTTTGTTCGAATAAGCTTTTAGATCTAATTATATATCCCCGTGGAACAATATAGGACACTAGATTAAATTTAGTGTAAAAATTATTTTTCTGCGTAATTATTTCTCGAATGAAAAAAAAATTATACAACTAAATTGTACTACTTTAACTATAGTACATTTAAATTGAAATATGGCCCCGTCTGAGATGGGGGGGGGGAGGGGGCTATAAAGAAACCTAAGAGTTTTGGAGAAATAGGTTATTCGCACTATGACGTAATTATTTATAACAAATGAATTTAAAATTTTATTTCGCAATATTAACAACGTACTAAAAGACCCACTAAAAACGACTGATATTTAAGGTTTCCCGATAAATGTGATTACGGTGTTATTCTTTGATCATGATTTTTTATCTTTTTTTATTTTTTCATACCTTTTAAACACATATAAAATGCTTCAAATAGTTCCTTAGTTGAAACTTTAAATGTATTTGTAATTTATAATAATACTTAAAAGTTTATTAAAATAAAAGCGGATGTAAAAAATGTTTTGCACATTTAAATTTTTTCGATTTCCGTAAAATGATAGAAAATAACTGACTTTTTTTAGAATTCCGAACATACTTAAATCTTTTCTGCTCTTTTGGAGTTAGGTCATTCTAGCTCATTCTTATTACATTACATTACATGATTTTAATTCGTTAATTTTTTTCTCCTTTATGTCATTTTTATGTTTTCCTAAACTTATAAGTTAGAAAGCTTCCACACAAATTTTTATAAACAGGTGTGTGAATTTACCACATATTTTCTTTACCACATATTTTCTAAGGAGAGGGCCCCATCTACAGAGCCCTCTTCTTAATCCTTACTTCTGCTTCCTTACAACCTGAATCAAAATAATGGTATCCAAAGCCTTATTTATCTACAAAAGAGCTCTTCCCCCTCCCCCTTCTCAACACCTGTTTCTAAATTTCAAGGTATAATTCTGGTTGTGGTCACAACTTGACAGCAAATGTTATAAAGGGGTTTGGCACTAAAAAAGTTGAGAACCCCTGGGTTTGGATTATATTAATAAACTATAATTGTTTTGAAACCCTCAACTTTCATGCCTTTGTGATCACTACTGGTTCTACTCACACACATTTCCTTTCGGGTATTGTCTCAAAATACCCAGACTGGGGAGTAAAAATTCCACCCGGCTCAGCCCTACCATGAATCATAAGCAAGACTGATCTCTTGCTATCTCTTTAACTTACCTGTCATTATTTTTCTGCGCCATTGTCTCAGAAGAATTGGTTTTATCATCAAATTTGTCAATATCCCAACCACCATTCTTATTCTTGTTGCCCCAACCGCCCAAGTCATCATTTTTACTGCTACCAGAGCTAACATCTTCATTGCGTCTAAAATTAGAATTGAATAAAAAAAAAGACATTTTACAGCCATTTATGAAGTAACTTTTTAGACTAGTTTAAGAAAGGGTACTACTTTCTGATAACACAACACACACAAAAAAAAAAATCCTTACATTTGGTTTTGATGTATTTGTTACTGGCAATGTGTGAAATGCAGGCATTGTGTAAAATACCTAGGCATTATATAGAATGCCTGAAGTTTTTATGAAAAGTAAGAATTATTTGATTTTCGTGATGAGGTTACATTCTTTGCCTAGACATTTTATACATTGCCTAGATATTATACATGACAAATATACTTCAGGCAAAGTTTTAAAAGAGGGTAATGAAAACGTTTTAATTGGAAAAACACATTTGAAAATGAAAGAAGAAATATGAAATAAGTTAAGGACATTCTTAACAACGAACCCGGAAAGCAAAGGTGGCATCATGCTACTTGTTGCAGCAAGTAAGGCTGGAGCGGCATTTGGAATTGCAATTAATTTTCTTTTTCATACAAAGTCACCATGTTTTGGTATTTGGTTTTGCACATACACCTCACGAATCCTTGACCGCTTCCTGTTGACAGAGATAGCAGCAGATCGGAGAGGTATTTCATGGTCAGTGACGTCTTCAACTTTCAATGAGTCATTTGGACATACATGGAACTGTGATCTCGCATAAAGTTGTTTCAAGATACCTTGTGCAGTTCCAAATCGCTAAAAAGCGTCTTCTGTCACAACAACTGCCAACAAATTGCGCGAGTTACCCTGTCCCTTTTTAATGTTAGGAATAGGAACTTGCACAGTGGCTTCTAAAGAGTTTATTTTCATTTCAAGGTTTAAATTTAAATTCTTTTCTAGCTTAATTCTACAGCTCTCTTAATCTTGAAACACAGGCTGCACAAAATACCAACACCATAACCTTCTATTTCCTTGTCTTCATTATCTTTAGCAGCATGCCCTCAAATAACATGAACATAACGGCGACAGTTTCGGCATGTATGGGCACTGCTGCTTTCTTTTAGGCAGACACAGCAAACAGTAGAAGTGGACGGTTCTTCGGTAACCATGCCATCACATTCAGTTTGGTTTTCTCCATTATTGGTTGCATCCTCTTCAGTATTCTGTGTAGTAGTTTCTGTATCTTGCGTCGGGTGATTTGCTTCTTCCTACTGTGTTGTTTGTACGTTTTCTATTATTTTTTCGAGTTCTTCCTATCTGTATGTCTTGCAAAATGCCAAGGGGAGGGCACCGCCGTGTAAAGAATCAAACATGAATGACGGGGTATTCTATACATTGCCTGGTTGATCTTCTGCATTTTATATAATGCCTAGGAAATGTGTGAAACAAAAACCTTTTCATACTTTGCCTACAAATTTCTGGCATCCTATATAATTCTTAGGTATTATATTCAATGCCAGATTTCACACATTGCCGGTAACATATATAAATGTAATAAAACTCATAAAAATTATTGTTTTAATATCTAGTATGCTAGACCCTTTTGTTTGTTTTCTATTTTTTTTCCTTGTTTTTTTTAATTGTTATTACTAAAGCATATTATCCTTCATAAGCCGGTTTTTAATCAACTTTTTTTTAAATAGCTTTTTCACAGTTTAACCCTCCAATAAAAATGTATCTTCTTTATAATATTGAGAAACAAATATTACTTGGAAGACCAATTGGATGACACAATTTCAAACTCATCATCAAAGAAATCCCTTCTATTGTTTCTGGGCTTTTCCCCATACGAGTCAAAGTCTCGTCTAGAGGAGGAGTTGCTACCCCCGCTTGGGGCCTCTTGACTAATTGTCTTCATGTCTGAAAGGGCAGAGTGGCTAATGCCCCTGTAGCAAAAAATGTAAAACAAGCAAAATCAAAGTTGACATTCGAAAGGATGTACTTTCTTCAAGTAATTAAAGACATTATTATACAGGAAAGGATCAGACATATTTTTAGTACAACATAACATATAATAAAATGTTAGTGGAATATAAAGTCAAGCAAACAACTGTTTACTTGTAAACTTCTAAAATGAGAATAAAGTTTCTTTTACTTTGCAGAATATCAAAAAAATTAAAATCAATAATGCCTACTTATTTCCAACAAATCCCATTCCTAAACGTTCAAACTGCTCTGCTTTTTTCGGGTCATTCTTCATTAGTTTCTCTTCTTCTTTTTTACGCTGCAGGCTCATGTCCTGGTATGCTAGTCTCATACTTGCCCTGTTAATCATTAAGTAATGTTTAAATAAATGGGATTAATAATTGCAAAATTCATCAATACATTATATTTCCAACAATTTTAAAATACTGCAAAAGTTTTTTAATAAATTATATTTTTAAAAATTAGGTAGAATACAGATTGCATCAATAGTTGATTTAAATTATAGACAGAAGTCATTTCATTTCCAAAATTACATTTGCTTATCTTGATCCTCCTTTGTTTTGGATTCCTCTACAACAACATTTTTTGCCATTTCTTCTCTTTCTTTGTCCACCTGCTGGGCTCTACTTTCAATGGCGCCAAAATCTTTTTGCACACGCTGGGCTCCAAGACCTTTCTACAAAAATAACAGATATAAACTTAAAAAATTGGTTTACAAAAATTTGGCCAAATAACTCAAGGCAGCTTTTGTATTATACAAATAATTTAATATAATAAAGTGATTTTGAATGTATACTTAAGGGCAGTTTGAGGTATGGGTGAGAAATGGGCGAAAATGTCAAATTTGTGGGGAAAAAATATTATTGTGTACCGGTATTTCATTTCATTAACCATTTCTTAATTAAATTTTTTTATTTATTTTTACAAAAGTAAGTTAGAAAATATAATTATTAAAATTTTCCAGACCCTACTAAGCAGCAAAATGTCAAAATTGCCCCATTGTGTTGTGTTTTTACCTCTTTGTTATGATTATTGGAATCGCCCAATCCCAATGTATTTGGTGTGGTGATTTCCGGTTTCATATAAATATAGCTTTTCATCATAAAGAAAATTACAAAAGCAACCGACCCTTTCAATCGCCAGTCATTTCTAGAAAAATTTAGTATTTTCCTGTCCTACTTCATGTATCACATTATCTAGTTCTAGCCATGACCTTTCAATAAAATAAGCATTTTGTTTGGTTCCTTTGTGGGAACTCTGTTTTTAATAATTAATAACAACTTCCGCTGTAAACACAATAGTTGCTAACTTTTTTTAGGCCTAGCAATTTCGATATATCATATGTAATTTTTCACAAATAAAATCTTTGAGGCGGTAAAAAAACAACTAAATCAGTAAATACCCAATAAGATGGGTTTACTTTGATTAATTGCGATGAACAACACAATACTGAGTACACTAACACTAAAGTCACTTCAACCATCGCTAAGCTACTTCGCTAGCAGTCACTAGCAGGAAGAAGATAGAAAAATACCATGCCAATAATAATGTTAACTCTTACTTTAGATAAAATATATTTGTCACTTTGATTAAAATTTAATGTACGATATCAATTAAAGTACTCTTAAGGCTAAGCCTACACTCACTATACTTATACAATGATTGAATTGTGAATGAAGGTTTAAATTATTATTCTACTTGTACTAGTACTTACTAATAATAGTACTCATTGTAAATTGTAAACATTGAAATATAGTGTTAATGAAAGTAGTAAAAATAATTCCTAATAGACACTATAGTATGGTAATTGTGATATATGACTTACATTGTCCTTTATTTATAGCTTTTGAAATGATAATATTTTAAATTTCTTATACATTGTCATTAGTGTTATTTTATTGTAAAGTAAAGTAAGAGCCCTAACTAATTTTGCTTGAAATACTTATCAACATGTCTATCATTTTTGCTCCTATGCATATAAGAGGGGATTTGCAATGTTTCTGTGCCTGGTGTTGATGAGGATATGACACTGATTGCAAGTGCTACTTTGTGAGGGAATCATGCACTATGGGTTGGAAGGCTTGAGGCAATAGATGCAAATGTGTCTAGTGTTGTCGCCTCAACTGTTCCCTTTGAAAGATTGTTCCAGTCCCTGATTGTCTTTGGCAGGAATGAGCATTTCCTATACTGGCTTCTAGCTGGTATGAGCCAAAATTGCCTGTCATGGCCTCGTCGCTGTCTATAGGGGAGAGGACGAGTTTCTGTTTAATACTGGAACAGTGCACGAGCCCATTATTTATTTTACTAGTCCTAATTTATAACTTTCATAAAAGTTGTTTTTAGAAAGAATAAAAAGTAAAAACTTATTAAATGTTAAAAAATACAAAGCTACAGTACCGGTATTTAATTTTAGAAAATTTTAGCAATTTAAAAAGTCATCTATTATTTTTATTAATTTTACTTTTAAGAAGGGGAAAATATGTTATCAGTTTTGTCAAGCAAGATTATAAAATCAAAGGAACTTAGTGCTGTGGCTAAAATAGGCAATCCTGCTATGAGTCATTTGCATAATTATTTAGATCAAATAAATTTTACTTTTATTTGGCAATATTAACAACCCACTAAAATACCCACTAAGAATAACAGATGATTGGGTTTTCCCGATAAATGTAATTAAGATGGAATTCTTATATCATAATATTTTAATAATTTTTTTCATAACTTTTACATTCCGATAAATTGTTTAAAATAGTTCTTATTTGATACTTTAAATAAATTTGTAATTTATAATAATAATACTTAAAATTTTACTAAAATAAAAGCTGATTAAAAATATTTTTTGCCCATTTAAATTTATTCCATTTTGTAAAACAATAGAAAATAACTGATTGTTTTTAGGAATCTGAACGTACTTAAATCGTATCGGTTCTATGGCCTTATGTCACAATAGCTCATTCTTATATATATGCATTATGGAGAGCCTGGATAGTCGTCTTCGTTCCTCCAATGGTGACCAGCCTAGTGTTTCCAGCATGCTGCCAACAATAGAGGTATTCCTGTAGCGGTTAAAGACAAAGCGTGCTTCCCCTAGCTGGACTGCCTCGAACCTGTCAATGCTCTTCTGGGTAAATGGGTCCCAGAATGAAGATGCACAATCTAAAACCGGACGGAAAAGGCTATATAGGCTCTTTCTTTCACACAGGAGTTGCCAATCTTTAGATTACGCCTTAAGAACCCCAGGGTCTTGTTTGCCTGGTTACACATTGTTTAATATGCTCGTCCCAGCGGAGCTCTCTTTGGTACTTTACGGAGGAAACTGGCTCAAGTATATGGCCATGCAGTTCATATTGGTAGTGTAGAGGAGTACAACTTCTAGAGCCTGATAGTGTCTGGCACTTGGCAGGGTGAAATTTCATGTTCCAGCTCATCTTCCACTCAGTAACCGATTGAGATCCTGTTGTAGCTGGTCCTGGTCAGATCTGTTGGCCATTGTCCTATACCCCGCTGTGTCATATGCGAAGTCTTGCTTGTGATTTCAGTTTCTCGGGTAGGTCATTAATGTATGCTAGGAACAAACAGGGGCCTAGCACAGATCCCTGGGGGACCCTTGATTTCACACTGACAAAGGAGCTTGTATCGTCCACCACTACTGCTTGGAAGTGGTTGCTGGGGAAGCTAGAGATCCATGTTTTAGTGGTGCCTTGGATCCAATATCTCTGAAGTTTGTGTAGAAGCAAACTATGATTGACACTGTCAAATGCTTTTGCGAAGTCCATAACCAGCACGTCAATTTGCTTGTGGTTCTCCAGATTGGTCATCAAATCTTCTACAAAATCAAGGATCTGGGTCTCACATGATCTATTGACTCGGAAGCCATGTTGACAGTCATTGAGTATATTTTGGCTTTCAAGATGCTCCCAACAATTTGCAGACCACACTGGTCAGGGATATCGGACGATAGTTGGCAGGGTCGGAATGCTCCCCTTTCTTTTAGATTGGAGTGACATGCGCTGTTCTCCAAGTTTGCTGGAACATTTCCTATGCACAGCCATGATTGGAAGAGGATTGTCAGTGCAGGAGCGATTTCTTTGGCTAATTCTTTGAGCACTCGTGGTTTGATGTTGTTAGGACCACATGCTTTGTAGGAGTTAATGGTTTTGAGGAGGGCAAGCACACCCTGCTCTGATATCTGGATATCTTCCATGACAGGGTAGGTACTGTTCATCATTTTGGTTTTCAGAAGGAACTCAGCCTCCGAGTACTCTCTGCCGTCACCAAAGACTGACTGGAACTGCTGATTGAGTATTTCCTGTTTTTAAACTGCACTGATCTGTTGTGCCTTAGTCCATTTATCCCAAATGACAGTTTGTACATGAGTAAAATGAGGGGTGCCCAAAGTATGTCTTCGAAATGCTACAGATTCTTTGTCGCAACATACATTAGATGCATTAAATGTTTTTAAAGCTATATTTTGTAATGTGAGATATTTAGTGATATTTGATCTGTAAAGCACAGATCCTGCAGTGTTCACAGGGGTTTTGCCTCTACGTGGCCCGGCACACTAGTAAGGCAGAACCGACTGCCCGAAGCTAAAAAACCCACATAAATCGTGTGTCTCCCATGGCAAAGGAGAGAGTTTGCTTTGGTTGGCTCTCCCCGGGAAAAGGTAAGAGATAAAAGCCTACAACAACTTTGTAAGTGATATCCTGAGAGTGGCAAAAAGGACAATCCCAGAACACATGGAAAACGCAAGTTCCGACCTTTCTGGCTGTATTTCTTTACCTTAATTGTTAAAGTTTCAAAGGTTTGGAGTACGGCATATATGTACAGGTGGGTATAAACACTAAATTTGGCAGTTAAACCTCCAGGAAGAGAGCTTTGGAGCGAGGGGTACCAAATGGGTCAGCCCTCAATTGCACACTCTTCCTTGCTTATATCAATGACTTGCCACAAATACTAGCATCCAATGCTGCAATGTGTGTGGACGATTTGGTTATCTGGAGCACCGGTAAAGATGTCCACCGACTGCAATGGCTATTACAGCCAGACCTTTTGGCTATCAGTAGGTTTATGCAGCGGTAGCATATGGAAATTAACACCAAGAAGATGGTCTATTCGCTATTCACAAATAGCAGAACCATTTTCAAACAGGCAATCAAGCTTAAGGTGGCGATGTAGCGCTGAAATGGGATAAGCAACCGGTTTACCGGGTGGTCAAATTGGATCAAAAGTTGCAAATGCATAATTTTCAAGACATCTGCTCCCAGGCAACTGCCAAGCTCAACCTGGAGAAAAAGTTGGCTTGCACAAGTTGGGACGCAGAAACAATTAAGCTTAGAGCATTGTTTCTAAGCAGTGTAAGGTCGGTAATGGACTACAGCATGCTGAGATTCATCTGTGGTGCATTCAGAACCACACCCACAGCTGCTGTAGACATCTTGGCTAATGTAGAGCCACTAGAAATCCGAAGAGAAAAGGCAATTTTAAGTACTGTTGAACGGCAGACGGCATAACGAAAAGCAACAGTCATTCCAAATGCAAAATAGCTGGGTAGCAGGTAGGCGACTGAAACTATCGTCATTCATACATCAAGAAGTGGAACAGCGGAGAAGACAGTTGACCGACCTCACAATAGAGAAAGATTGACCCTTATCCCAGCCAATCTGCCATATGCGGAACTCTCCCATTATACATTTGGCCTTGACTGATGCAGCCCTGAACATATACAAAAAGCAGCTGCCCTAAAGACTATGGATGGATATTTGAATACCCCAGTAAAAGTGTTCATGGACAGCTCTGCCAACATGAGAAAAAGAAATGCGGGGTATGGTGCGCTCATCCAGAACCTAACAGGAGGGCCACCAAACCAGGAACTTTCAAGACCTTGTAGGACTACAGCATCGAACTTCGATGTGGAGCTGGAGGTTATCCACAGGGCCCTGGACAGTGTGCACCACATTCTGCAGAGGTACGAGCTTGTGGGACTCGATGTATTAGTCCACTCCGACTCAAGATCTGCTCTTGAGATCTTGGGAAAGAGAACGAGTACCACGCACTTTGTAGGCGCCATCATAGATGATGTGTGCAAGATCTGTGAATTAGTGTAGAACGGTGACAGTGCATTGGATTCCAGGGCACATCAACGCCAGTGCCAATGAAAAAGCAGATACTTTGGCGAAAACCGGAGCTACTCAGCCTCAGCTAGATGTACCAGTAACTTATCTGGGAATCAAAAACTGGCCAGCGGACCATTTTAGGACAAAATGGAACAGGCAGTGGGCAGACAACATGACATCCAGAGGCGTTTTCACCAACTCCTTGCAGACAAGACCCATGGTGGGGGTTAGGTTGCAGGCAGCAGAGTTTAGTGACACAGATGTGTACCAAGCACTGTCCCATCGGCATATACTTTAACAGGCTAATCATAACAGGGACCCTACCTACCGGCATTGCAGCCTGGTCCCAGAAACACTAGCGCATCTGTTAACCGAGAGTCCCTCACCTGATTTTTTGGTGGAGGCCAGGGCGCCGGGAGAGTCCTACACGAGGATGGAGCTGGTAGCCAATGAACTAGCCGGGGTCATAAGAGAGTAATCTCAGACCCTCACCAGAATATGAGCATTCATTAGTGATATTTGATTTATGTCACTATATATTAAATTACATAATTCAAATATTTTGTAAAATTTTTAACTTCTTCACTTGTATTTATGGGTTTAAAAGTTAAGCATTTGACCACATTAAAAAATATATTTTTTCAAATAAATATTCAGTCAAAACAAATGGTAAGGTACCCCTTTTTTCGCAGCAGGTGTTTTTTTGGTGCCAATAATTCCCTTTCTAGGCTCTGCTTGATTTAAGGCCTGGGTTGGAGAAGTGCTTAATGCAGCCTCCACATTAGGACCTACAGAAAGATCTAAGGAAAAAAAAATGACATTTCTTGTAATTCTTTTTTTAAGTTTCATCAAACACTTATTTAGATCTAATTCTCTGAGACCACTGAAGCAATTTTAACTATTTTGAGACAAAAGAAAATCACAGGTAAAAACAAAAGTATTTATAATACCACATACTTTCACATTAATTATTAAAATAAATTCTAACCTTCTTCTGCTTTACCATTTTTGATAATGGGTTTGGACTGAGTGCTGCTAGAGCTTGCTGCCAATCTGGCATTATCTTCCATAGGAAAGGATAGGGAGTCCTCTACTAAATCTTGGGTGTGTTCAGAGAAAAAGTCCACCTCCTTTTTTTCTGGTGTCACAGCCTCATGATGGCTCTCAATGTGAAGCTTGAAATAGTCGGAAAGTATGAATATTTAATTAACTAAATCATAATAAAATAATACAACACATGAGTTCATTTGCTTTATTTACTTTAATGAAATTACTATTTTATATTAATTGAAAAACATTCACATCAACAGACTTACTCCAATGTTATTAAATCATATAAAAAATTGTCATTTAAAAACACCATTTCACAACACAATACATCTTTTCAATGTGTTTGAAACAGTATGCTATGAACTTGTGGCAGTTATATAAGAAGAATAAGCTTAAACAAATTCTATTTTTCTTCAGGGGTTTGATAATTCAAATACTATAACTATTATTCACTGAATGACAATGGATATTTATATGTAATGCAGTAAAAGGGAAAAAATAGGAAATATACAAATTATGTTACAGATTTACTGAAGAATTAGTAAGACAGTATTAAAAGTTAGATCTGTGCACTGTAAAGAAAATATTTTATATATATATATATATATATAAAATTAGCTCCCAATTCTTTAAATTGACAGAACCAAATAGTATCAAAAACATCAATTTTTAGCACCTAGATAAAAACTGAAGTACCACATTAAGATGGCAGGTACCACAAAAAGATGTCAGGTAGACAACAAAGTTGAATTACTAGAAAGCAAATTTGTGTAAAGTAGATTATTATTCAAAACAATGCATACAATTTATCTGTTAACTAAGGCAATGTTGTTTATGTTCAATCCAACTCTGCCTTTAGAAGTATCACAAAAATAAGTAGATCTAGTTTACAACAATAGATTAGGATGAAAAAATATTTTATGACCATGAAAAAGATAAGAATCCCACTTTTTTAAACATAAAAACCAGAGAATTAAAAAATGGTGGAGAAAAAGCACATCAAAATACATTTGTTGTAGGACCCGATTTGAAATATTTCATTCCATTCATTATTCTTTTATTGTGTAATATGTATGAAATAGGGCAAAAATTATAAGTTTAACAGAACATTAATAAAATGATCAAATTAAATAAAATACCAACTAGTGATCATACAATTTATGTTTCTAACAAAATTAGGATAGATTGAATATATTTATTAAACTACCTTGAGTACATTTTTATAAGTAATAAATGTAAGCTCTGAAAATAAATCATTCTCAATCATTTTTTGAGCTTTTCAAAAATCTGAACTCAATATAAAGCAAAGCCCACAAAATCTAACCTTAAGACCTTTTGTTTTGTCGAGGTCATCAAAAAAGAGCTGGAGAAATATATTACAAACAGCAAAAGCTTTGATAATTTATTTAAATTTGATGCAATTGTTTTTTTACAATTTTGTTCAATAAGTTCCACTTTTAATATTTAATTCAAGTTTTAAAGCTAAATTTTGTAGTTTGAGATATTGAAGCTTGTGTGCTCAATATTGTCCAATCTATTGATTAAAGTCATATTTCCAATGAAGGATGATGAAGTTAAAAATGAAAATTTGAAAAATTGACACTAAGGAGATTACTATTTAAAGAAATGTTCAGTTTTGTTAAATACATACTTTGGTACCATGCTGCCTCATTGCATGTTGTGCAAGAGAAACTAATTTATCTCTGTACAGTGTTGCTGCTCTACTGTGGTACTTTTTTTGAGCATCAGTTGTAGTGCAGCCATGTTGTTGGAAGAAGGCTCTCTGAAGTAAAATATGAATAACTATTGTTTAAAAAAAATACATCTTTAAAATATGCTATTTCCTTATCTTCTATATATTTTAATAATTAATTTATAATTTTATATTATAATTTTAATATACTTTAATACATTTTAATAATTTATTAATCACAAGATTGGGGGGTTTGGGGGGGGGGGGGGGAGGACGCACCAGTAATAAATGCTGTGTTGCAATTTTTGTTTTAAAAAATAAATTTACAAACTTTTTTTTTAACTTAATGTGTGCCGCGTGAATTTTTTTTCTCTTTATCCACTTTTGAATAATATTGTGAGTAACATATAAACAGTTAAATATTCATGATGATTGTAAAATGAACACATATTGTAACAAATCATAAATAAAAGTTCATGTAAATAACTAACAGCATTGGCATTCCCTCCAACTTGCATGGCTCTGAGCTGCAGCCATGTCCAGTTTGTGTCCAACTGTGTGGAACGTATAAAAGTGACATGTACACCAAGGGATCTATGCACTGCTGAGCAATCAATGCATAGGAACACCCCATATGTCACACTGGCCCATGTGGGATTACTGTGACTGCAATCAAAGCATTGCTGAAGTGGAAAAAACGGAAAACAAAACAAAATGAATGAACTACTGACTAGTTATAGTAACCAACCTCATATTAGTTCTGTTCTCTTATAGAAAACAAACTTCAGAATCATGATTCCTATATATAATGAGTAACACTTACTAAATACATGCAGACCTGTTTACCCTTGTACTCCTAAAATTGTACAATATCTTCTCAAAATTGTACAATACAGTATATTATTAGTAAATAAACAAACATTCTGTGTATATGATATATACAATAACTACTCGCATCGCGTGTCTAGTGGGATCGAATTAAGCTGGCCTCAAAAAGGGTAACTGAATGGGAAAAAGAAGATGACAGACGATAAATGCAAACTGCGGTCACTTTGTTTTGCAGACATTTACCTGCTATAGATATCAATTCATATTTAGGTGAACGGTCAGCCGTAAGGAATAATTATGCCACAAAATTAAATCATTCAGCACCGACTCAAACAAACACAAGGAGATGCCATCTATATAGTATGTAAACACAAAAAGAGTCAAATTTTTTAACATCCCCCACCCCCTGAACACCACGCGTACTTTTTGACGACCTCCCCCCACTTTTTTCCAATAATCTTCATATATTTATGTTAAAGTAGTAAAGAAAATGTGACACAGGTATTCACCACTGCAATTCAGCGAGCCCAGTGGTTCCCAGAATATATGCCGCATCACCCTGTGTGCTCTTTGTCCTCAGGCAATGCCACAAGAATGGGGCTAAGAGAAAAATCACCTTTGGACCATGATAGCGAATTAAACTGTTCACTTGGTCAAAGAGAAAGGCCGAATTTATTTTCCTTTTAGTGTTCCACCCGGGTTGATGGGGGGATACACATTTTTATATTTTTTAAATATGTGTTGCAGCGGCTTTCTAGCAGGAGTGTTGCGAAATATTACAAAATTTTCATAACTTTATTTCCACTTTTAATTTTAATCCAATGTCACTAATATGGGTCGTGGTGTAAAGTGTAAACAGTAACCCACTTGAGTAACTACTGTTTTCATTTTCTAGATGGCGCTTAGTGACCTAAATACATGTCATATTTATTTTCCCCCAACTCTTTATATTTTGTTTATGTATTCGCTATTTTGAAGTGTATTCATTAGAATTTCAATCAGGGAGCCTGGTGAAAAAACTAAATTTAGCATAGGTGCTGGGAAACGAAAATTTGAGAACCACTGGCATTGCACAAGAAAATATATGTATATGACACATGCACATTGATCATAAGGTGGACTAAATAAATATTACTGTAATATCTCTAATACTGATTACTATCTGAGTATAGCTACCAAGTTCATTTGTTAAAATACATGGCATCATCACAATACCTACTTAACAACGGGCGATATTTTACAGCATTCAAGATATAATTATGCTGTTAGTTGAACATTCAGAGTTTCGGGATGAATATTGTAGAATAATTGAATAAGACATGTAATTTCTGGCGAGAGCCCCCCCCTGGCTTACCATCATTACGAAAATAAACACCACTCCATTTCCCCCCCAGGGCAAACGTATTACAATTATAGATGGTCCCCAACCAATTGTATTTCTCGATCCATTCACTGCTGGATGTAGAATGCAAATTAAAGCCAACAATCAAATATATACTTTTTAATTAATTTTTTTTTTTAATCAGAAAAAACTAACGGAATGTTGGCTATGTATTTTTCAACCCTGTCTCTTAAAATTGGAGCTCCGGTGGGTTTCAGCGTACATATAAAATTGTAATAAGGGGAGAGACTGCAATCAGATTAGCAAAAAAAGGGAATGAGAATTACTCATTTTGAGTTTTACTCATTTCCTTTTTGGCGTACGATCGTAAAAGACATCTCAAAATCCTACATTTGAACGCCAAAATCTTAAGAGTAATCAGGTCTGACTAAGCAAACTAAACTACGGAGCCGAAAACAAACCAAAAAAAAAAATCGCAGATTCCATTAATGGTAGCACTAAAATCATGCAATGTGTACATCTGTCAGTGTAGACCTCATTAAGCAAAGGTCGCACAGGCCATTTCGGATTAGTGATCATGCCCCCTTTTAAATGGCGGAAAGCGCTGATTCTTAGCTTAGGAAATATTCAATTATCACCACTATATACATCAAAATATTTGATAACTTCTGTTTCAGAATGCATTTTGAAGACATTTAAAAAGAATGTTTTAATTTGAGCTTTAAAAACCCAGTAGAGTCCATATTATTAACGATCAGAATTATCTGTGTGCAAAACGTTATGGACAACCATTCCCAGCCACTTGCTTAATGGGTATACCGCAGTACTATCTCAAGAGTTTCATTCATAAGAGTTTGCTGTGTGCAAAAACTATTAAACCATTGGTCAGGGAAGGTTTTAGTTAATTAGTCATGTGCCAAAGTTGTAAGTTCAAAGTAAGTAGATCCCAAACAATATTTTAGGGGGTGAGTTGCCTTATATAGACTATACAGCATATACCGGTGAAATGGACACCGTAGATTTGGTTAACAGAAAAGCCATTTATTAATACATTATTTTAAATTTACTGATAAATATAGTGCATAGTTATATAAACTATAATTAGTATATAATTGTATAAAATTATTTTTTAATACAGCATTAGTTCTGAAAATAAAAGTCCTACATGATAAAAGTATCATTAAAACGAGTTATATAGCTTATGAAGCGAACAGGGGAATAGGGTCACAGAATGTGGAGATGCTGTCCATGTTAAAAAAGGACAAACAGAAGTTGTACTTTAACCATTCATAACTATAAAACTATAAAAGCTAAAAATATGATTTTGGTGTTATAATTCTCTTAAAAATTAGCTCTATTCAACTATGCCATAGGTTTATTTTTACAGAATTTAAAAATTTTTAACCAAAGTACCTACGCCGTGAGGACAGCAAAAGAATGGTGAAAATCTAAATTTGCCATAAGCGCCAGAAATTGAAACATTATAGGAACCACTGAACTAGCACATTGAAGATACGGTGGACGAGATATTACTATAATACTGTACTAAGTACTACTGAAGTGATATCTAGCTAGTTCATTTGTAAAAATAAATGAATGTCAACATTATTATGATGTGAATTGATACAATTCCTACACAACATTGCCTGATTTTTTAGTTATAGCATTGAAGATATAATTTTTGGACTCTGTCAGATGGAGCTGAAACTATTCACTGTGCTGGTATACCCACTGTGCTTGCCTTTGCCGAGGAATAAGATAGACAAATGGACAGTTACTTCGACAGAAATTTTCAATGTTATCACATTGCCATAAATGGTATGTCATTTTAAAGGGGGTAAAAGTGGAGTTCAGGTGCGTATATTATTTCTGTTTGAATTGGTATTTTCATGTGTAAATTTATGTTAATTCTTTATAAAAAGTATTTTAAAAGTAAAATACCACCTTTTTATTGGAATACAACAACAATTAAACAAATTTTACCAGATAAAAAAAGGACATTTTCATGAGTCTTTTGTCTTTTACGGAGCCATTGCGGTAAATCAAGGATAACTCTTTTGTCTTTAAAGATACATTATAAAAGTTGCCCAATTGGATGAATCTTGGTTAAAATAAATGTATTTATTTTATAACTTTACTATCAAATATAACCGGAGTTGACCGGGTTTGCATTCAGAAAAAAACATCTTCTACTTCCTTTTAATTCACATTGCTATTAAGTGAAATTTTAACAACAAAACAACACCACTATATTAAAAAAAAAAATCAATTTGTCTCCCATAAAAACACTTAAAATAACTTATGTAAACCTTTCGTTTTTCCCGTTTTCCGCTGACACCCCGTTATCCGGAAGGATCATGATGGGATCCCGATTCCAGTAAAATTCTGGTCATGGCGGTATCCCAATCCCGGTAGAATCTCGGTCATGGTGGATCCCAATACCGGTAGAATCCCGGCCATTGTGGGATCCCAATCCCCGTAAGATCACGGTGAGATCCCATTTTCGGTGGTATCCCAATCCAAATGAGATCCCGATCCCGGTAGGATCTCGAGCCCGGTGAGATCTTGATCCCAGTGGGATCCCATATTCGGTGAGATCCCAATAGGACCTCGAGCCCGGTGCTCAAATTAGAGCTGACCAATCACGAACAACGTATTTGCAGCCATCAGTATGAGATGACTATCAATAAATGATCTGATTTCCCCCATTCCTGCAAGTCACACATTTTTTTTTTTAAAGTGGACACGTGATCACACATTGGCACATATTCGTGGAACACACACCCCTGCCCCCACTTTTTTCAGCTTCACTCCAGGACAATGATGACATGTGTGTCCGCTGCCTTAGCCTTAGTCGGTGATCAACTTCTAATCTCCCCCCCCCAGACTTCATGGGACAACCTGTATATTTCAAGAGCTCAGAGGAAAAAAAAAAGAAAGTGGGGGTGGGGAAGGGGGGTGCTCGTGCGTAATGAAAAATCTAAATTTCATTCCTTTTTGTGAACATGCCTACAGTTTAAAAATTTCATATTCAGCATACTAAATTATAGGTGGTTAAAAATCTGGCCATAGGCCGAAAAAAAAAAAGCGAAACAAATGGGGCTGTGTTACTTTTGTTGGGGATGTTTAAAGACTCTTAAGAATCAAATAAAAAGAAAAAATGTGATTTAAAATTCAGTATTGGTTTATTTCTATAACTGCCTGTATTTAATTAATGAAGAATACACGTAAGTTTACATGATAAAATACGAAAAGCGTTAAGAAATAATATAAGCACCTAAACTTAAACTCCACTTTTACCTTAAAGGGCTAGCTATAAGCATTGCAAAAAGACCAATTTCATATTTCTAGCTTTGAATGATATAAACGAAGTTATGACAAGCAAGACATCACTGCCAAAAGTACCAACAAGCCGGACGACGAGAGTGAGAGGAAAGTGCGGACAAGGGGGTCAAAAATACAAACTGTCCGTACTATGTAATAACGTCTGGAAACCCTATATACGCACCTGAACTGCACGAATACCGAATAAATGGAATGCCAAATTTTGAACATTCAATAAATAATGAATAAGAATAACGAATGAAATGGAAACTGTCGACAGTATAAATTATATAATAAAATAAGTTAAATAAGTGCCTAGATAATCAACACATAAGTTCACAACTGAGATTGACATTCAAATGATGTATTTGAAGAAAAGGTTTACATTAAAGCTATTTTATTGGTACAATAAAATTAACCTTATTTGTAGGTATAGACAATAATCGTTTAAAAATCTGTTTTATTTCGTTCTCAACCGGGTGATCTGCCATGATGATGACGTTCTCGATCTGATCACATGACATAAGCTAATCACGGGCAGTTTAGTTTGTTACATTCTCATTGGTTATTTCATTGACTTAAAAAATCAATAGAAATAAACTATTAAACTCGCCAGAATTATTAAATATCAACAGTTTTACTGTTTGAATCAGTTTTATTATTTTAAATATTATGCGCATCGTAACCCACAATGAAAATTTTGCGCTTTGTGTAAAAAGTATTGTCTTAATAATTGTGTTAGCTATCACTATCACATTTAATTTCGTGGTCATGCGTTGGCGTTACAATAAAATTCTTGGGCTGTATAATATATAACTGAAACTACTTGCAAAGAATACGTTTTTTTTTTTTTTACCACAATGTATAGGATACAACAATTTTAACCATTACACCGTAATTCTTGACGTTTATGAATGTTTGTTGCCTGATTGCATTTGATTCAATGTTTTCATTTAAAACTACGATCACCGCTGTTTTCCCACCTAGTGAATCAGTACTGCGACAGCGGGAACTAGAATGCCTGCACAGGAATAATAATAATAATAATAAAGTTCATTTCAAAACTACGCTTCATCCCCAAAGACTCGAAGCGCGGTACAAAGTCAACAAAAAACAAATCTATAATTTACCACATTTAAAACAAACGCAACACTACAAAAACTAATTACAAGCATACAATGTCAAAGTCTTTCTAGCCATTTCAACCATAATCAAATCTATAATTTACCACATTTAAAACAAACGCAACACTACAAAAACTAATTACAAGCATACAATGTCAAAGTCTTTCTAGCCATTTCAACCATAAGCAACACATCCATTATGCATTAACTGGAAAATAAAGTAGACAATCATCCCAGGAGGTGTTTGCGAAATAGATGTGTCTTTAAATCGGTTTTAAAGGACTCCAGTGTCTGGTTGTTTCTGAGATCGACAGGAAGGGCGTTCCAAATTGTTGGACCAGCAAATGCGAAAGTGCGCTTTCCGTAAGTCTCAAGGCAAACACGTGGTGTCGAGAGTTTGCCACTATCGGATGAGCGGAGCTCTCTAGTGGGTACATAAGGCGTCAGCAGCTCTTTCAGATAGGACGGCGCCAGGTCATGTAAGCAGCGGTAGCACAAAGTTGCGATTTTGTACTCTATGCGAGTACGCACCGGCAGCCAGTGGAACTCTCTCAGAAGTGTTTTTGCATGGTCGAACTTGCGTTTGTGGAGAACAATGCGAGGTCCATTTAATCAGGTTCTGGCCACCGGTCGCTTTATTCTGAGAAGATCAAGTTACAGGATACCAAGGGGACCAGTTGCATTGCCATTTGACAGTCGGAATAAATTATGTGGAAAAAGAAGGAGACAGGCGTTTTACGTGAGTCCGGCAACTGGGGGTAGGAAACAATACAAAACAGTTTTCAGGGAAAAGTGATCTTAGTAAATGGTTTTGGGGGAAATGTTTCTGGTCGAGAAATTCGATAGACAAAACCATGCCATAAAGGAATGTTTGAGCTCTTGTAGATGAAAAGGTTACTATCAAGTGTAGTGGTCAGAGTGAATTTCTCTTCAGAACTGCACGGGCCTAGTAATTTTAGATAGCAAACGAAACGCAAATACTTTTAAAAATTGAAAACTGCTTAGATGTTATTTTTTATGAATTAAAAGAATTGTTTTAAATTTTTGACAACAATTGATTTTTGTGGATCAGAAGACTATTGGAAGTACAGCTATCTGTGAACGAAATTCAAATTTGACCAGTAAGTTATTATTTGAAATTTATAAAACTTTACAATTTAATCTAGAAAAATTATGTTTCATATAAAAATTTTAAGATTTAAAAAAGTGCAGATAAAGACATCACTGTTATGTTATTGTATTGCCTAGATTTAATGATGTATTATTAATATAAAATGTTATTTAATGAAATTCTTTATGTCTCATTGTTTAATTATTACTAAGGTGCCATATAAGGGTGCAAACGATCAGGGAGGAGCTAGACAGCGCGACCCCTACACCTTCCTCGCCGTTCTCGGAGGACGTTAGTCAGACAGAATCATTTGATAGTTTTCTGCCTGTGACTGAGGATGAGGTGAGGCGAGTCATCATCAGGTCTGCTCCCAAGTCTTGTGCCCTCGATCCTATCCCCGTCCCACTGCTTGTAGAATGCCTTGACGTCCTCCTCCCAGCACTCACCTCCATCATAAATTCTTCGATTCTCTCTGGCATATTCCCTCCCATTTTTAAACGGTCGATTGTCCTGCCCCTCCTAAAGAAACCCTCACTTGATCCAAACACACTCAAGAATTACCGCCCCGTCAGCAACCTCTCCTTTCTCTCAAAAATCATAGAAAAACTCATACTCTCTCAGCTCTCTGGCTATCTTCATTCTCGCAATCTCTATCCTTCCTCTCAGTCCGCCTACCGACTTGGTCATAGCACAGAAACAGCACTGGTCCGAGTCATGAGTGACCTCCTGCGCGCGATGGACGATGGCAAACTCTCTATTCTCACTCTGTTAGATCTCTCTGCTGCATTTGATACCATTGACCACCAGATTCTTCTTGACCGCCTTCATCTTTCTTTCGGACTTACTGGCTCAGCTTTAAACTGGTTTCAATCATATCTTTCTGACAGAACTCAAAAAGTCTCTATTTCCAACCGCTCTTCCAAACCTTCAGCCCTGTCTATTGGAGTTCCTCAAGGATCGGTCCTTGGGCCGGTCCTTTTCATCCTCTACACTAAACCTCTATCATCTCTCATTAGCCACCACTCAGTTTCCAGTCAATCCTTTGCTGATGACACTCAAATCAGTGACTCTTGCTTTCCTGATCAACTTGATGCCACAATCCTTCGCATACAGGAGTGCGTGGACGATGTAAAGCGTTGGATGACTTGCAACAAACTGAAGCTAAATGATGATAAAACGGAAATCCTTCTCATCCACTCTCAAAACAAACCTCTCCCTCCATTCGCTCCTTCTTCTATATCTATTGGCAACTCTGACATCACACTCTCTCCCTCTGCCAGAAACCTTGGAGTCACGCTTACGGACACCCTCTCCATGGACAAACATGTCACGAATATATGCAGATCAGCATATAACGAAATTAGAAAAATCAGCACCATTAGACACCTCCTCTCCTTTGATGCCACAAAAACTCTCGTCTCTTCACTCATTCTTTCAAAATTTGACTACTGTAACATTCTTCTCTCAGGCATTCCTCAACACCACATAGAAAAACTTCAGAAGGCACAGAACTCAGCATGCAGACTCATTTTTAAATTAAAGAAACATGACCACATTCAACCACACATGCGGCAACTCCACTGGCTTCCAATATCCTCTCGCATCAAATACAAGTCTTCCAATCTTTGCTTCAACTCGTTCACTGACCCTCACTTTCCTGTCTATCTCTCTGAACTGTTGCTTCCTTACATCCCCACAAGACAACTACGTTCTTCCATTGACAGTAGAACCCTCTCAATCCCAAGAACTAAAACTAAGACCATCGGTGAACGCTCCTTCTGCTTCCATGGGCCCACGTTCTGGAACCAGCTCCCCTTCCATATACGTCATAGTGAAACCTCGTCCATTTTCAAAAAGTCCCTTAAAACTCATCTGTTTAGGTCCGCCTATGACCTGTGATGCACCCTCCTTGCCCTACCTAATTTTCTGTTTCGGTTTAATCCTGAAGTGTCAAAGTGTCCTCTTTTTATAGCCATTTTCATTGTTTCTATAGAATAGTAGTTAGTTACTATCCTAGTGTCTCATTTGTATTTACTTAGTTTACATGTTTTAATAATTGTAAAGCGCTTAGAGCTTTATGATAAGCGCTATATAAAAATGCCTAAATAAATATATGTTTTACATATACACTGGTGGTGTTTCAAATACTGAAATTATTTGGTTATTCAATAGGCTTATAACATGGATGGACCGTAATACTAATTTTTGTTTAAATGTTTTTGTTTATTATTATTATTTTTTTTAACTCTTTGTGCTATAGCATGGAAGTAGATTGGTCTTATATATTTTCGTAGTTTTATACAAATTGAATATTAAAGTTAATATTTTACAATTATTTTTTCAGAAGTGAACGTTAAGATGGATAAAAATAAAATGTCCCATTGTCTTTTCGATACGTTCGTGTTGGCGTATCCAACAAAGACCAGAAAGATTTGCCAAGGAGAGGTGATTAAAAAGTGGAATGAAATTAAAAATAAGGCAGATTTTCAAGTTATAGTTGATCACTGGTTGCAAGAACTTAAGGCAATTACCACCACAAAAAAAGGATCCTTTCTAACATTTTGGACAAAAACATCATAATCGTTAAATAAAAAAAAAATACACCAACTATGCCTATGGAAATACCTGAGAATTCTATGTATCATGTTGAAATAAAAGATACCTATTGTCACAGAATGACTACTAGCCAAGGTCGGCCATAGTGAGTTAGAGAGAGGGACAAGGATAGGGGGAATAATTAAATACGATACATGGTGGAGGGTTCGGACCTGGATGCCACAGGTGTTGGGCGTACCGACCGACTAACTAACTAACTTAAGAAAATCAGCGAACACCGAGCCTTGAGGCTCATATGGTCCTCCCCAACGCACCACCCCGCCAACCAAACCGGCCGTCAACCACTCCCCCAGTGGTCTTTATTCCGATCGGGCCGCGAAGCGGCACGCCAGGGACGCTCCGCCCCTAAGACCGCCACACTCGACCTCCACTCGATTGGCCGCTGAGTGTGGCAGCCCCAGAGAAGAAACACCTGGCCAGCCGGATTGCTGCTCACGCAGCAACAGGGCCGGACTTTCTAAGGGGTTGGGGTGGATATTTAACGTCTCTAAAGTCCCCCCTTACCACCCCGGGGGGACCGCGTAGTTGTTTAAGACTGACGCCCTCTACTAGGGTTTGTATGGTTATTCTACGGTGCGACTAATTCACACCGTAGATGGGAGAGAGAGGTTGCCTAGGAGCAGTACCCTCAAGACTGCATATTTAGACCGACCGACTAAAAAGGGCCGGCGTG